TTATAAAATACAAATAATAGCTTAGCATCAACGCAATTTTTGTTAGAAGAAATTTATATTAATTAACATTGTAAACGGTAGCTCTAATAAGAAGCAAAAAAAAAACTGCACATGTAATTTAAAGGTATGATTAGCCAAAATGAAAATGACCCAACCTGATCAGCTTCAATGTAGTATGCAAGTGGAGGTAAAGATTTTATATATAAGGTGTGAAGAAAGCTTAGGTTAACCATACATCTATCACATGAGGATGAAAAGTAGTAACAGGGGAACTCTATTAGAAACTCTTTCAAGTTGCACTCTACGTCAGTGTCAACTTATAGCTTCTGAGTCTCTTGAATATTAAACTCTGCTATGAGAAAAATACCTTCTAATTTGGAATCAGGCTGCATTTACAATGAGAAAAGTTTCTGGCCACCAAGATTACTGGTACCCTTGAATGTTAGCTGATTCTAGCACCATCTAGCGTGATCTCGTGTTTTAAAAAATCCCTAGGACTCTTGGTTAAATGAGCATATCCAAGATCAGTGATTATTTGCAGTCTCAGCTATCCTCTAGATCTCATCGTGAAAGCCAGTGCAATGGTATACCTTAGCTTTGTTCGTCAAACCACTATTGAGTAGGCAATTTAAATTTTCGAACTTTCTCAAAAATTTGAGATATCTACTAGATCGTCCTGGGATAAAGCACATACAATCTCGATCACCACCTGAACTACACCTATACAACCAAGCTGCTAACGCAGTTCGTGTAAGCCCCGAATATGGCTCGTATATAACACGAAAGTCTTGGGCAATGCCTTGCTTAACTTGCGTATGCACTTGTAAGTGACCCAATTTCCAGTTAGGACAGTATAATCTGACGACATTGATAGCCTATCATTATGCTATCGTAGCTTCCTAGCATTTTAATTTTATAATTATGCACATACATTAGATGTGTTTTGGTACCATCTAACGTACCCTTGTGTATTACAGGCTAATTGTACGGATACTAACGACCACGTATTGTCGCCTAAGTGCCACTAATCTTTGTTCACCAAAAATTGTCCCTGTACATCTGTGAGCATTGGCTGTGCTCAAGTGCAACCTAGTTTGTCCCTCGCAGAAGGATCTGAGTGTGAGGTAGAACCCAGAGACTGTATCCCTTCTGGTAAGACCTTACGTGCTCTGGCACCAGCCAGACAACTATTGGGTGTTCCTGACACCCCCTGACAAATACTAGTGTACACAAACGGTTATGGGGGTATGCAAGCGTATAGGTAAACATGTTCAAGGAATACTAGCGTATACGAGCGCATCCGAGGAACACTATCGTATGCTAGAATACATGAACACAGCTGAAGAATGCCAGCGTGTTTAAGTGCATGCAAACACATCCAAATATTCCTAGCTTACACGATCGCATCCGAGGACTACTATTTCACGAGAACACGTATCAGAAATACGAGCTTATACAGGCGCATCCAAAAATTACTAGCTTACATAATTAAATACCTGAGGGCACGCTAACACAACAGAAAGACCGTTGCCACCTCCAAGGGCACGCCAGTGCATCTGAGTCAGCGTTGGGATATAGTTTCGGCCGGACTTGGGAATTCTCTAGAACCCAACCTCTCTGATGTGGGAAATCACTAGATCAAAAAAAAATAGTACCGAACGTAAGGCGCGAAATTCAAATGAGGTCACAAGCACCTATCACCCGATGATCCAAGGTGCTTACTGGCCACTCTGTTAAATAAATAGTTATTAATAACACAAGCGCCTATCACCTTATAACCCGGGGCGCTTATTGCGATTCTAGTATATAAATAATTATCGATAAATGAACAAAGCACCTATTTTTTGATGACACAGGACACTTATTGGCCACACTATTAAATAATAAAAAGTTAATTGATAACATACATAAAAAAATTCTAATATTTTGATTGATTGTCTAGTACGACAAAGATCTTTTTAATTAGCGCTCTTGTAATTGATTGATAATTTATTATTTAATAGTGGCAATTAAGCGCCCTGGGTCATTAGGTGATAGGAGTTTATATTATCATTAATCATTTATTTGATAGAGTGGCCAGTAAGCACCCTATGTCATCGGATGATAGGCGCTTGTGTTATTTATTAATATTTATTTATTTAACAAAGTGGCCAATAAGCACTCCGGGTTATCGGGTGATAGGCGCTTGTATTCTTAATAATTATTTATTTAACAGAGTGGCTAGTAAGCACCCCGTGTCATCGGGTGATAGGCGCTTGTGTTATTTATTAATATTTAATTATTTATTAGAGTGACCAGTAAGTGGCCTGGATCTTCGGGTGATAGGAGCTTGTGTTAGTTATTAATAATTATGTATTTGATAGAGTGGCCAGTAAGCGCCTTGGATCATTGGGTGATAGGCACTTGTGTTATTATTAATTATTCATTTAACAGAGTGGCCAGTAAGCACCCTAGGTCATCGGGTGATAGGTGCTTGTATTATTGGACCTTATTTGAATGTCACGCCTTACGTTCGGTACTATTTTTTTCATCTATTGATTTTCCACGTCAGAGAAGTTGGGTCCAAGGGAATTCCCAAGTCTGGCCGGAGCTACATCCCAACGCTGATCTGAGTGAGTGCCAGCGCATCCAAGGGCGTAATAGTGCATCCCAGGGCGCTCTAGTACATCCGAGGGCACGCTGGCGCACTTGAGGGCACTCTGGCGCATTTCAGGATGTAATAGTGTATGTGCATACGTGTCAGGGTATGCTTAACATCATTAAAATCGTATCTAATATTATGTAAACCATAAGTTTATATGTAATAATACATTATTTTTATTTTCCCACTACATATGTCTGCTAATTGACAGTTATACACAGACTGACTACTCTGCACTCTTCGCTCACTTGACATACTCTTGAGTTGCAACCTGCACTGTTCACAAGAGCATTGGTTTGTACGTCTACGCTACCATCACACAGACCTGCTTACACATACTCTTTAACGTTTGCTTACATGTGTGCACAAGTATCAACTCACCCAACAAAAAAAGAATACTTATTTAACATTAAGTAAGAAAAAAAATTTACTCCGTAATAGTAGTTATCTGTTTTGGCAACAATTACCAGAGATTACTTCACGAAATAATCATCTTAAATTCAAACAGTAGATGCTGAATACAATACATTTTTAAAAACCTTATATGATGGTAAACTTTACCTATAATTCTTATATATGATAAAAAATGAAGCTTCATTTATACATACCTTAAGAAAGTAGAACCTTTAGGGTCTTGTTCCTAAAGTTTTAACAAAATCTTTGAAAAGTATTTTTTTCATAACTCCATTAAGCTTGTTTAACCTCTCTAAAACTCACTGTTAAAAAAATTACAGTTTCTTTTGAAAAAAGACTAGTGTAATTCACCTCTCCATATCAGAGATGAGCACTATATATTTAATACATTTTTAGACTAGTAAAACTTATGTTTAGAACACTACAAATATTTTCATTAAAAAATTTATGAGTTGAACGTTTTAAACTATATTTTAATGTATTTCGTAAGTAAAGTTTTTATACCAAGGTATTAAACTCTGTTTCTTACTTTTTCTCCTATCTTTTAGTTACTGTTTGTTATAAAATACTTCATGAAAAATGTAAGGAGGCTTGGGCGATTTTGAATTAAATGCTGGCTAGGTCTGAAATTCAGAGATTATATAGATAAAGTTTGCTAGATTTTTTTAGGAAAACAAAATAGGTAGGTCAACACATTTATTTTCGAGAAAATCACTTGTGAAAATTCGTCATTTTAACACGCAACCTTACGGAACCCGAAATTCAATAGACTATCGTACCCCAATAAAAAGCTGTGGGCCCACACATTAAATTGGTACATGTACTTGAAAGTATAAAGAATCTATTATTGAAAAAAAGAATGGGATCAACACGTTAAATTTTGAGAAAATATCGAGGAAAACATCGAACATGAGAATTGTTCTGTTCAGGTACTGTAAGTGCGCATGCGCTGTACATTCATAAACATACAAGCATGAAAATTGAAGTCTAACACAATTATAGGTATATAATAGCAGATGAGAGCAAAAGAGTACAGTGTTGTCAGCTTTATCGTGGCAGGGCCGTCATCTTTACACAAGGTACCTTGGGAAAACTAATAAATTTTTTAATATCGATTTTCCCAATGACTTTTCCGCGTATTATTGCTATTTTGTTCACACATGTGTATAATCAAAATGATTATAAAAAAAATATTACAAAGAATCATTTGTATGACAAGTACCCCACAGGGGCCCCTCAATAGATACGACACCAAACGCCTAAGCCTCCTTAAAGTCAACAGTAAAGTATATTGAAGTAAAGAAAAGGAGTGCCTTCTATACCATTTTTAATTTACTTCGCTTTTAAGTTTACTAAGAAAGAAAATTTAGCTAAGAGTTGTAAAAACTATTTAATGTTCATTTTAATAAAATAATGAGCTTTCGTATAGCGTTTCTCTGCAGTTAAATTAGATAATGATATTTTATATAATTAATTCTATATAAGTGCAACTTGGCAACAAGACTTAAGAGATACAAGCCTCTCAAGATATACAAAATTTTACATAACTCATGAATTCAGTAACTTTTACATTCACGTGATTTCCTGCCTTACTCTGCTCGGGAAACAATATTTATTCTTACGTGCTTATAATCCAATGGTATCTTAAGTAAAAAGTGTTCATTTTGTGGTCCAACCGAAGCAAAACTGACAATAAGACAAAAGTTAGAGCCGCCTTGCATCACATAACTCTTGACATGGGTTCTTAAAATAAATACTAGGTGTTTGAATTAAAGACTTTACGCAATAGTATGCACAATTTATTTAAAGCATTAGGATAGAAATCAAATACTTTACAGGCTGTATGCAGGTACAAAAATTGAAATTTGCACACACAGTGTGAAAACAAATTATTTGCATTTATAAGTTTACATCATGGAAGCATAGTTATGTCTTATACTTTCAGGCAACCAAATGCTTAAAGAGCATTACCACAAGAAAGTCGAAGAATTGCAGCGAGAAATTATCAAGATGCGCTCACATCAGCAGCTTCAACAGTTTCAACAGAATCAATCACCGCACACGGAAAATAAATTAATGCTGCAGCAACATTTACAAAACAAGATGCAGCAGCAAAACCTCACTCGCCAACTGCAACGTTATCAGTTTTTACAGCAGCAAGTTCAGCTACAACAGCAACAGGAAAAACAGTCTACCTTTCAGCAACTTAAGGAAAATGCTAGCCTGGCTACCATAATTCACACTAATACAAATAATGGTACGGCCACGGCAATTCTTGATTCGACTACTTTTACCAGCATAAATAATCAAAAGAACCAAATGAAAAGAAGTGGTGCAACAACTTTACAGATGCCTGCGGCTATTGTTTTGAATTTGGCTAAGCCAGCGAAGATCAATGGCTCAATACTTAGCGCTCTCGTAGCTCAAGTCCAGAACCAACAGCAGCAACAAATAATTTTTAGTAGAGAGAGGATGCAGACATCCTCCAGTGAATGTACTGATGCCACTAAAGCGTTAAAGGTAGGATATTGTAACTGACTGTCATAATATACAGCAAACTTATACACAAAGATCTTTGTTAAATGTATAAAAAAAAATATGTTTTAGGTTAAAATTGAGCCACTCCGTAAAGCTCCCGTTAAAAGCCAGATGGTTGATGACGTACTTGAAATTTTAATTAAAAGTGGTGAGCTTCCGGCAAGTGCAGCTCAAGAACCACTGACACCAACAACACCGAATATGCGAATAACAGCAGGATTAGTTCTGAATGATTCAACAGATACCCAGACGCATCCAAAAATTATATTAGCATCAGCCACAAGCGCAAAGGAAGTGCTGCCAAGTGAGACTACTGGTCAAGCATCACAGTCACGATCTTCGTCTTCACAAAGCTTGAATCTTGCAACTTTTAGCGAACAGCTGCCTCTCTTAATTCAGCAACACAAGCAAAAAAGAACTGAGCAAGATCTGCAGAAATGCGAGACAAATCTTGGAAAAGAAATGCTGCTTAACTCAACAGTGGTACACGAAAATTCACTTGATCCGCAACCACCACAAGAAGTTACTTCTTCTGACAACGCAAATACGAACCTGAAGGTCTGTTTTTTTACAAGTTTTTTTAAATTTTAACAAATTTTTTTATTTAACTCGTCAGGTGAAATGAGCACAACTACTTTTTTACTGCTATGATAACAATTACTGTTACTGCTACGTCCAATTTTTAATCACAAGTAACTTTTTGGCTGGATAATATCAGTCTGAATCTTTTCTACTTTATGTGTATGTTATTCTCGTATTAACAAGATTTTTTGAGGTCCAAGTCATCCTACTTTTTTTATTACGGTTCTTGCTTGAAATTTCACGCAAGAGACCTATTTTTTATGTATTGTATTTGTCTAACGATACCTGAACAACAATATATCCTTAGGTCGAATCTTCGAGATTGATTTTAATTATTTCTCAACTCTCCCTTGTGTTTCAGTCTAGTTAGATTTGTAAAGAATATATAGCCTACACTATCCTAAATATTTACACAGTAGTAGTTGCAAAACGGCACGTATATTTATTATTAATATGTATCTTCTTTAATATTTGTGAAAGATTAGATACTGTATAAACAGAAATTGTAGAAAGGCTGAAATATTAAGGAAAAACTATACTCTTAATAACAAATGCAATAACAAATATCACTTGTCTCTTTTACATAAATTTATAAAAAAAGTATGTTCTACATGATGTTGGTAACTAAAATATTCATGTTTTCTTCAATGTTTGCATTACAATGCTGTCATCCATCTAAAGTTACAAGGTTCTATTAACTAAAACATACATATCATTTTTTCTTAACACTTACAAAACTGCCCCCCATCAGTTGACTTACACTCCAATCGTACCTTCAATTAACACCATGTAACTGAAAAAAAAAAAAATCCTGACTTAACGAAAAGCACACGTTAATAACTGGTATTTGCAGGGTGTATTTGTGTTGAAAGCTTTTTTGTGAATGTCACCAAAGATAGGTTAGTTTGTACGGATTTTATTTGCAAGTACAACTATCTAATAATGCATTTTACTACGGTTTATCTGGCTAAGTGCAACAGCAATTGGTGACAGATTTTTTTTTATTGATTATCCTGTACATGTAAAGCTGTTAGTGGCACGTCTAAGTAATAGTAAACTAGATATTAATAACTGAAGTATTAAAAACAAGTGCTTTACGTTTAGATATTTACAAGCATATTTTCTTCAACTGCAAAATCATACTAATCAGATGAACCAAAAATTTACCGGATATGGAGCCTTAGACGTTTAAAAAGTTACACCTGATACACCCACAAACTTTTTGTAAGCTGAGACATCTTGAGGTCTGCACGCATCAAAAATGTGATGGGTATAAATTGGTTTGCAACACATTAATTTCGGGCTAAGCTACAGTAACATGTACTGAGCAAAAATAACAAATGCATTATAAGACTCACATGCCTAAAGAGCGTATTTATATTTATACAGTTGGTTTGATGTATTTCATACAACTTTGGCAATATTTTTTTATGGTATTAACTATGGCAATAAGTACGATTAAATTTCACTAAACAATGATACAAAATTTCACAGTCAAAGGGTAAAAATATGTGAAAAAAGGGCAAAATTCATTTTATTTCCATAGAGATAGTTTATTTTAGCCTGAATAAAAGTAATATGGATCGTTCATTAGATTTAATATCAACGAATAAAATAAAATATGACTTAAAGTAATCCAATCCTATGTAATGCTTATAGTAATTTAGTATACGGTTTTCTAGGATTAATCGTTAAAAAATCGTATAAAATCAACTATTTGTTTGATATGATTCAAAAACTCATAAAATTAGTTTATATAAATTTTTTAAGAAAAAAAAGATAACAGAACCGCAAACTAAATTAGAGCCAGTTGTTAATCTTGTTAAACAATGATTACATACACACCAAATTTATGAAACCAAAGCTTTACTTCACTGCAACTCTTAACAACTAACAATAATCAGATAGAGTACATGATAGAGAAATTCCGCAAAACAAAAACGGACAAAAAGAGACAATACCATCTGCATCGTCAGTTAAATTCCTACTAAAATTTAAAATCAACAGTAGATGGTAGTTATAAATACTTATAAGTAAAATTAACGGAGAGCTGATAACATTTACAAAGGAAGAAAGATTTTTAAAGGTTACATACCTATGATTTGCCTTCAAAAATCCAAACAAACATAAAAATTTGACAATAAAAGACATAAGACCTTGTTATCTAAACTTTGATAATATTGCCTCCCTTTTTATTAAAACAATTCTTTGTTAAATTTACTTATAGTATTTTAGAGTTAATAAATTTTTTTTAAACGGACTCTGTATCAAATATTTTTGTAATCTCCCAGACACACTGACGTTCTTTTTTTTTAATGTATGTGGTTGGAAACCACAGATTGACGATCTTCATTCCATTTATGTTCTTCAATTCTATCAAAAGCCTGTCTTATTGTTTCGCCAATATATTCTACAGGGCAGTTTTTGTAAGTCAATTAGTAGACCAAAATAGTAATTTCAAGTTTTCAGTTTTTTTAACGGAGCCATTCTTTAATCTCACTGCTGATATCACAATTATAATGTTAATGCAGTGAAAAGTTTGTCATGTAAGACGTTTTATGCCCATGGCTCTTATGAAAATTATTAAAAGTGTGCTTTTTAAAACTTACTAAGTAAACAAGTAATAATTCTAATAAATCTCAAAACAGCTACAAATATCGTAATATGTTAAGTGTTTCGTTTATTGATCAAAAAAATGTTTGCAAATTACGTCATTTATGTCAAAACTATAATTATAAAGTTGTACCTAATACTGAAAAAAGTACGCTGAGAAAAGGGATGTTAAAAAAAATATTATAACTATACTAAAAATTACTACATTCTTAGGAAAGCTTAGACATAGTCACCTGATGACGCCAAATTAGTACATTTAAAATAATTTTTATTGTATTTTAAATAACTCTTATTATGTAGTAGAACTACAAAAATAATTACACGGCATGATAAAAATTACTATGTCTAATATAGTAAAAACTCTGATGTATAATTTATGCTACAAAACATAGTAAATTTTATTGTAACCGTTTCACATTCTAAAGTAGAATTTCTCATTCCACTGCATTGCTATTCAGTATAGTAAAAATTACCATGTTCGAAAGTAATTTCGTACGATGTCTATAGTGACATACGCCTATTCAGTATTAAATTTGAGGTTATACGAATGTAAATATAAAGAAAAACATATTTTTTGATTTATCAGGATTAAAAATTGATACATGCTGACAATTAGTTTTAAATCGAATAATTATCCGTTGTTAATACGGTGGTCCACAGAAAACACTTTGGTTTTCAACTTGATTGTGTGTATGGTAAACAGTACACGTTCCTACATGAACTTCATTCATACTCACGTTCACATCATGTCCCGTGGTCTAGTGGTTGCGGAGCCTAACTCGAAAGCTAAAGGCTGAAGGTTAAAATCGCAGTCACTGCAGATCTTTTTTAAAATAAAAACATTTTCAAATCACATCAACTCCTACGTACAATAAGAAAAATTTATCTGTATACATTTAAATCCTATATAAATATACTAATCTTCTGTTTAATATATATATATTCACTGGGCAAATACATATATAATATATAATATATTTTTCTTCTCTTACTTTAATATAAAAACTCTTTCTAAGTAAAGTAAAAATTACTATGTCGAAATAGCAAATTTTAATATAATCTGATTTTACTATGTAGCATAGTAATTTTTAGAATATGGCAAGTATGTCTCAGCTTTCCTGTAAAATATAGTAATTTTTATTATAGTTGTAACACTTTTTCTAACACCACTTTTCTTAGTGTATACGGAATATTATAAAAATATGTAAGGACTTTACCTCTCGATAATACTAACGTTGCCTATTAATTTACTTGCAATAACTGTCCAGCAAAATCTATCAGCAAAACAAAAAGGCAGTCTCTTTACATAATCGATGAACATTATCAGAATAAAAATCCGTCTGTATTCAATTATTGCTCAACAAGATCAACTATTTCTTTCCTACGTATAATTATGTCAATGAAAATTGATAATCATGCACCTGACATAGTAAATAGTTTTACTAGCAGCATACATAAACATATACATGTATCTACTTGTATGCATGTTCCAATGCGACGTTACCACATACACGATACCTACTTGGTTATCTTCCAAAATAAAACGAAGAGTACTTTTTTCATTACTATTACCTTAAAACTAAGTGGTAAGAAATTCTCAAAAAATGTATGTGTTTCTTTACTGTTTAAGGTAGTTGTCAGTAGTTTTTCAATTATTTATAGATATGTGGTAATATCACTTTTTAAAATAATGGGGCTATGTAGTGTTTGCACCATTGCTCCAATGGTAAGAGAGTGATCTTTTGATGAGGATATTTCAATAACGATGTGGTAAATCGGTCTCAAATTTTATACACATATTTCTTGATACTTATATTAGTTTTGTTGACAATTTCGTAACTTTTTAGATAATTTTGATTTGGTGAACAACTACCTTAAGTTTAACTAAATCATTACTTATATTTTACTTGGGAATGACTGACTAGGTATTGAAGAAGCACTTGAATAGTACTACTGAGGGAATATTCAAAAGTACTTTTATACAACCTAAGTGATTATTGAACAAAATTTTTTTTCACCGTACTAGGACATTGACTTTACTTGAGTATTATTTGGTATGTAAGGTATTTAAGCATTTAACTTATACTTAAAAGTATAATTTTCGAGCATGAATTCTTTAATCGGTATGACACAGGCAGAACTCTCTGAAATTTTGGCTGTACGAAAACAAAATTCTTAAAGGCGTTTACTCATATTTTCAACAAAATCCTAAAGAGAATTTTTTTGAAATTGTCTTTGTAGTAAAGCATTTCGCTATAATATTGTTAAGTAACTAAGCAGATTTGAGGTAGTACTGTCGTATGTTAGTTGACCTACAAGATTTAAAGAAAGTTAAATACTTGAGATTATAAATTCCCAGAAAC